CCCTTCCCCAGCCATTATGAGAGCTGGCCATGTGGTTTGAGTGGCTGTGTGAGGCCAGGCTAAAAGCCCCTGAGCAGGTGGACCAATAATGGGAAGCCCTTTCCTGTCCGTTCCTCCAATACTGAATAAGCAGCCAGCACAACACGCGGTGAGGAGGGGGGCAAGAAGCCCTTATGAGCTCAGGGCAAGGAGTCCGGCTGACTCCCAGCACTTGCCCTCTGGGCTGGATGCCCACATTCCCCAATGCTCCGCCAGGTCCTCTGTATTTCCCTCTTCCGGGCCACATGCGGCGGCATCTCCACTTCTAGAGGTGACATGCCTTCTCCCAGGTACTGCCCCACCTGCAGTGTGGACAGGTCCAGAGGAGGGCACCGTGTAAACCACAGCCCCAGACCTCAGGGGGGACGGTGAGACCTCATCCCTCTGCAAGCGTTCCAGTCATGCTGGGCTGCATACACATGCCCCCCACACAACCTTCCCACCCCCAACACACATCCTCTCAAACTTTAATGCGCCCCAGAATCACCTGGGGAGGCCAAACGCAGACTCCAAGGCTCCTCTCTCAGACCCTGCATCATTCGGTGCGGGCCCCAGAATCTGCATTGGCACAAGCCCGCCCCCCCCCCACCCCCCGCCAGGTGGATCTGATGCAGGTGGCCCGCGGGCCAGACTTTGAGAAACACTGCCCCAGGGACTTGTCTGGCTTCCCAGACTCTGGATCTCGGGTTCCCCTCATCCTCCCTGGGGCCCGAGACTCCAACCCACGTCCCACCGCGCGTCCCAACCCAAACGCAAAGGAAGGGGCCGGGAAGTGGGGTCAGGGTCGCGCTGTCCCGGCGCCAGAGGCAACTCCTGGGCGGCGGCGGGCGCCGGGTGGAGCAGGACGGGGCAGGGGCTGCCGGGGTCCCACTCACTCACAGGGAGCTGATGTCGCCCGGCACGATCCTGGGCACCCAGGAGGAGCCCACGCAGATGATGGACTCCTTGGTACAGCTGCAAGTGGCGGGGCAGCGCGCCAGCCGCCTCACCTGCGCGCTCGGCGGGATCAGGCACGCGGCTCCCAGCAGCAACAGCAGCCGTCCCGGCGCCCCGCCGCCGCCCCGCCGCAGCGCCATGCCGCGTCCCCGCTCCCCGCCCCGGCCGCGAACCCCGCTGCCGCGCCGCGCGCTCGGACTCCGCGCCGCTGCAGACGC